ACAGGCAAGTCCGAGTATTTTAATGGATAAATTTAATACTCATCATGTAACAATGGGGATTAAAAAGTCAATAAAGCAACAAAATTCGAAACAAAAGAGACATATCGCACCTAAATCAAAGGAATTCCGCTCGTGGATTCTTCGGAAGGTAATCGACAATGGCAAGAACAATAGCCTGAATATATGAATACTTGATAACCCCAAAATTTGGGGTACACACTTAAATCGGCGTGAAGTTGTAATGCGTGACAAATACAAATTTTACAGAAATAAAATCATTTATCTTACGAGATTAAGTAAAGCGAACTACTACCAAAGTTTCTTTGATCTCAACATATGTAATATGCGTCAAACTTGGAAAGGAATTAACGAGCTAATTGGAAACTGTAAAAAGAAAAACAAGCGCAACTCAACTAACTCTATTCGGTCAAACCTGAATGAGGTTCCAACTAGTGACCCGAAGGAAATAAGCAATATTCTTAACAAATATTTCGCCACTGTTGGGAGCAAACTGGCTTCTAAAATTCCTCAGACCATAAATACATTCTATGATTATTTAGATCCGCCACTTAATCGCACTTTCTTCTTTGATCCTATTATTCCGGAAGATATCAATTTAGAAATTTCAGTTTTGCAAGACAACAAGGCCCATGGTCTCTACTCATCTCCAGTTAGGCTGCTGAAATTGGCAAAAAGGGTCATATCCGTACCTCTAGCCACGATTTTTAATCAGTCTGTTTGCTCAGGGATTTTTCCATCTAAACTAAAGTGTGCTAAGATTATCCCGATATTTAAGGACGAAGATGACACGCTGCCCGAAAACTACCGACCTATTTCTCTGCTCTCGATTTATAACAGGATTTTTGAAAAACTTATGTACTCCAGAGTTACCAAGTTTGTCAAAGATTGCAACATTCTCTATGATCAGCAATACGGTTTTCGCAGTAAGCACAGTACTCAGCATGCTGTACTTGATATTGTTAACACAATTCTCCAAAACATGGACAACGGTAAATTTTCGTGTGGTGTTTTCATCGATCTCAAAAAGGCTTTTGATACTGTTAACCATGAAATTTTGTTAGCTAAACTTGAAAATTATGGTATTAGAGGTGTAATCAACTCCTGGTTCAGATCATACCTGACTGATTGGAAGCAAACTACGGAAGTTAATAATGTTGTGTCTGAGGCTGAAACGACCTTGTGCGGCGTGCCACAAGGCTCAGTCCTCGGACCACTCTTATTCCTACTGTACATCAATGATATTTACAAGTCCTCTTCGTTATTTGCCTTTTATCTATTTGCTGACGATACTAGTATAATACTTGCAAATAACAACCTAGGAACTCGAAACACTTGTTAATCGCGAGCTTGGCAACGTCAACGAATGGCTAAAGGCCAACAAACTGTCCTTGAACATAAAAAAATCAAATTTTGTAATCTTTCGTCCCCGGCAAAAGAATATGCCCTTCATACCTAGGATTAGAATTTTTGACTCCGTGACTAACACCTACGCAAACCTTGAAATGAAAGATTATGTAAAATATCTTGGCTTAATGATTGATTCAAATCTTTCATGGAAATACCACATCGAATCTATCTGTCACAAAATCAGCAAGTCGATAGGAATTATAGCTAAGATTCGACATTGACATTTCAAAGAAAGATCGTAACTCTACAAAAACGGGCCTTACGTCTCATCTACTTCAGTAAGTCTAAGGAACACGCCGAACCCTTCTTTCTCAAATCAAATTGCCTTCCCCTGCCTAGCATATTTTTCAGAGACTGTCCTTTCGTAAAAAAATAAAGAAATTATTACTAAATTTTTTGCGGTCAGAAGATGATTATGTCGAAGTCTCCCGTCTTATTAAGTTATTTAATACTTTAGGTTAGCCTCTCTTCGTAATCGTTATGTACATGCCTTGTTTTATGTTAGTTTAAATTCTATTTACTGTATTGTAGTGTCTTCACTGTTATTTAGTCCATCTATATATAAATCTTGTTTTGTAATATGTCTTCAGCTCCCCCCGCCTCGATTAGTTCATAAGCTATTTGCGGGTGGGAAAGTAATGTAATTAGTTATTTTCCAATTTTCAATAAAATTTGTTGTTGTTGTTGTTGAAAGGATCGCAAGCGGAGTTCGATACGCTTTGGTCATAAATCAGGCGGTGTGCGTCACGAGATTCGACCAATCAGAATGCGTCATTTGTAGAGTGATTTTCGCGCTCGGAAAGAGCTGTTTTCAGAGGTATACGTGGTGAAATTTTCGCTTTATTCCAAGCTTGTGTTGGTAATTTCGACACTATACCGCCGTGGAAAGTTGTTGGAACACTTTATCTTAATAGCAGTTGCGTTACTTTTAAATATTTTGCTTTCTTGAGCGTTTGTGACAAGTTTGAATTGCTCGGTCATGTGCAGGCGGCCATGATGATTTGAGTGTTGTTTTTCCCGTTCTTCTTGGATTTATTGCAGGTTACTGTTAGCGGTTTTATAGAATTATTTTGGCCATCTTGTTACTTCAACCTTTCTTCTTTGCAAATTTCGGGGTCTACCCGGGTCTACCCCTGTTAGTTTTCCCGTTATGAGCCGTTGAAAGTGTCTTGGAATTAAGACTTCGTCTCAGCCAAGTGGCACAACTCCCAGGAAACGCGCTGACTGAACAATCCGAAGCGGCAGCCGACGTGAAGCGAGTAACGCCAAATCCAGGAAGAGTTTGTTCTATTTTAAACCACAAAAGGTAAATAAGTTTGAATATTGTAATAACCTTTGGAAACAAAACATTTTTCATAACCCAGTGCGGAAACTGAAAGCGTGACTTTAAAATAATTTGCATGCGGTTTGTGCTACGTATATGCAAATCTTTGTGTAAACTTAATATGTGAGGGAATAAATTGTTATAAATCAAATCTCTACCAAAACACAAAACCATTATCAAAGACCCAGACACCATCATACAGGATTTTAAAACTGCGAGATTAGGTTTTACTTTATAACAAAATCGATATACTGCGCTCACTTCAATGACCGCACAGACAAGATCGTGGTTTATTTCACTGTTTATTTCTGCGGCTGTAACTTCGGTGAAATTTCGATTGTGCTGCAGCTGTTCGGCTCTTTCGGTCTGTTTTCCCCTTGCCTGATAGAAGATTTATTTGTGCATAAGGATTTCAAACGGGCACTGTTTTCAAAATAATATAAACTTGTCGATGAAAATAAAATTGTTATGAGAGACGATTTCTCACCTTGCTGTTTGCACGAGCTCCCCCTGCTTTGCCGGTAACAAAGTCCATCAAATATATAAACACTTCTAATGGACGAATTTTTTTTTTAGTTAAGCAAATCCAGGTATGAACTACAGATCTCTTTCACTATGAGATAAAAACATACATATAAACTAAACAGTGCATAAAATCTTATGGCAAGCAGGAAATTAGTCGCCGCTCAAAGTCGGCTAGATCGCACGATCGTCTCCGAATCCGAATCTCCTGGTCATAAATCTTTTTTTATCGGTTTGGTATCCGCCGCTACCTAGCAACAAGCCATAAACAAATCCTAAAGACGCCATTCAGCATGACACCATCGTTCATTCTGGGTAACTGACGCATCACTGGTGACTAATCTCTTCCGAGCAGTTGCTACATCACCCTGGGTTTCCAGTGTTAACTTAAGTTGCCGAAAAGCGGGCTGCAAACACAACAGTGCCCGAATGGACAAGCTGGAAATCCTTGTCGAGGAATATTTAACACCGAATGATCGGCGACCTGAACGTCAGCGAGAGCAGCGAAGAAGAAAGACCAGTGCGTTCATCGAGATCGAGCGGCCTATATAAAGCCCGAGAGTGATTTAACTTGGAAATAATGCGAAATGGTTTTGAAATGCTCGTTTAAGCCATTTTCCTCAAATGTATCTTTGAATTCATGATAAATACAGCTCCACAAGGTTCAAACAGTGTGACTGGCAGAGAAAAATACTTCAACATACACTATAAACTTTAACACATTATTTTTTTAGTGGTCCGTGTGTGTCCCAGTACAAGATTTTGCGCTGGAGGAAGTTAAGGTGCAGGTTCAAATTCTAGCGGGGCTACTTCCATTTTTTTTTTCCCATCGTATTTTACCCTTTGGTGTACTGTTGCAATTTGTAATAACTATCGCACTTTGTAATACCTGTCGCAATTTGTTATAAATTCACCGCACTTTGTAATACCTGTCGCAATTTGTAATAATCCGCGTCGCACTTTGTAATAAAAAAGCTGTCGCAATTTGTAATAACTGTCCATCGCACTTTCTAATAAACTAAACTGTCGCAATTTGAAATAATTCCATCGCACTTTGTAATAATTTTAACTTACTTCCTCAACATTAATATAATTCCAAAATATGAATGGTACTTCGTAAACGCTCACCATTATCTGGTGAGCGTTAGAAAACAAGACTACGTGTGGTGAATTCATTATCGTGACCAGTGTATGACCATGACTATCACTCTGGACCCTGGTCACTCTACTCAGTTAACTTTTCCACTTAGGTTTTTTGGTGATCATGGTGAAAAATAGTTGTCTGACTTCACCTCATATCATAGTTTTATTTTTTTCGTGAAATGGCCATTTCAGTTTTCCTTCATCAACCTCGTATGCATAATGGAGAGGTTCAGTATTGAGAACCGCGAAAAACCGAACCTTGAAATGTATAAAGGCCGGCGATTGCATTGGAGCTTTTATAAAATGTATATATATGTATGCACACCCTCAGGCCGGTTTGAACTTAACTCTCACAATGCATATAAATTCAGGTTTTTTGTCTTTTTCAGTGATAGATACCATAGAAAAATAACATCTGACCAGTAATGGTAAGCTTGCAGAGCCAACCGACCTATTGGAAAGTCAGAACAAAAATCCTTAAAAATGGCTTTATTTTAACAAGCTTAACTTGTGTTACTTCAAAATACAGCAAGGATATATGAGACGGCAAACCAAAAGAAGTTCCATTTGTTGGTTAAATTCTTTAAATAATGTCATATGTTATGAGATAGGCAGGATAACACTGTTCGTCATTAAAAATGACAAAAATCGATGGACTTGATTCATTATCAACGCATGAATCATAGAGATCACTAGCAGGATTGCGAGGGTCTTTTAAAGGAGGTCGATGGAGTGATTCATCTCCTTGCTTAAACTCTCCGGTTAACACTCGAGCAAGGAACATAAATCTTGTCTGTCCACTGCAGTAGTTGTTACTATATGAGGCTTTGACAGCAAAGTAGCTTCCTTTACCGTATTTTGTGCCGTTTTTGCCGTGACACCTGTGGTCAAAATTGTGCTTGCAGATGGCGTCAATGACATCTGAACTGGTGCCGTGGAAAAGGAGCCTCTCCACATTATCGTTGTCGGAGACTTTAAGTATATTCTTGATTTGGTCTCTCTTCCTGAAAATACATCCACCGTATACAACTCATAAATGGAATGAACTCATTACAGTTAAATTGATTTAATGAAATTGCGGAATAAACGGTGGGTTTTTGGAGACTAAGACTAAGGGCTCTACATATACATTATTTTACATATTGACTTTAATTTCCCAATTCAGAAATGTTTCAAGATTTATTGCATTTTGATATTCGGATTCGCACGCATTAGTTAATCCAGGAAGGGGTCTTTCGGATGAAGTATGCCGACATTAAGATTCCGGATTCAAAGTGCCTCAGGAAACGCGTTCAAACGGTTTTTATTTCGTATTCTTGCATGTTATGCATCAGCGTCTAGCAGCAAAACGAATCCAGACGGCAAAAGACAGTACCGGATTTAAAAAATCTTCTTTAGTGGATTCCTTGTCTGGTACTCAAGGGAGAATTTCAAGGCCGAAAAACTGAAGAATAAACGTTTTGGCTAAGGAAAAACTGAAATAAACTGGTAAGAAAGTGCCTTTTTTAATATAGCTTTCAAGGACCACACGATGGAAGTGGATTGCAAGTTGTTTATTTTATAAGTAGGTTGAGTATGATTGAGTATGATCGTCAGATATGTCACAGAGTCAAACTCTTCGACATGTATTACGTATTCTACAGAGTACTATCAACGACTCAATTTAGAAAGCTGGTTTGCTAACTTAGAACAAACGCCACTGAATCGTAATAAACAGCTCCCAGCACCGTACAAACGACTTATTAACGGAATCAAGCAAAACTAACTTTGACAAGAACGACTGGACAACTAACGATTTGGCTTACAATAAACGACTGTTTTTAAAACTGTGACAAGAGACGGATCTAAACGCACCAATGGCATTACGAGTCTTCATAGAGAATAACATCACGGCTTAACTGACAGACGACTAATAACATCGCGACTCAATTTACCAATCAGGTCAAAAAACCAAAGTTTAATGCCGTCAACTGACGTGATTCAACTCACTTTGGCTCTGAAGGTGACTACCGCACAGGTTGTAGAAACGTCAGTCGCTGTCAACAACAACAGTCCTATTCAGGACCACGTTCACCCGGACGATCATACTCAACCTTAACTTATGAAATGATTCCTGGGTTCAAACCTTTCACAACTTGTTTATTTGTTATAAAAAGAATTGGGCCACCATTTTCAAGCTCAACTTTTGTGTCATCGAAAAATTAAGAAAAATGGTCATGCTTTGTTTTCTCTTTCAGAAAATCTCTTTCTATTTTTTTTTTCAGAGTTTGTAATGCTAAAAAAATGATGAGTGAGGATAGCTGGCTCTTATTTCAGCTCACTCTTGACCGAATTAATAATTGTGAATTGACCTTGACAATAGTCCGTACGGTAAAAGACCCAACCCGTACAATTAAAGCTACAATTGTACGTGAAAACGGACGCAACAACTCCCAACAATGTTGCGTCCCTTTACACGGGGTTAAAAGTTTGAACGGGGGATTCAAACTTTGCGCAACAACTCCCAACAACACGCAACAACATTCAACAGGGTGTGCAAACGGACGCAATATGTAACATTTTTGATCCAACAATGTTTGGAGTTGTTGGCCAACAATGTTGCATCCGTTTTCACGTTCCTTAAGAATACAGAATTTAAGTCTTGTTCATACATTTACTATACCTTTTGTATCTCTCATTTAAGAAAGCATTTTTTATTTTCTCGATCACAGTTATCTTTGCCTTGCGTTTTAGGATTGTTTTATGAAACAGCGTTTCCACCTTTTTGAACTCTTCACTGTCTGCTGACAGGGGGATTCGTTTGAAGGTATTGTCATGACCCATGAGACGTCTGCTTATGGCTTGAACGATGTTAGAGACCCTGGGAAATGAGTTGAATAGGCTGAAAAAACTGCAAAATGGAAGAAAAAAAAAACCGCAAGGTTATTACTTTGTTTGCCTTAATTGTATCAAGCGTCAGTCTTTTATAGGGTGGCCAGTTTTGGACATCGAAAAACACGAACTGGGAGTTGGCTACACTGGTGCCATAAAAACTGCGTGTATTCAGTCAACCGTTTCTTTTGAAAACGAGATGTCTGTCTTTTAGAGGCAATTAAAAGGAGTAAAGAAAGGCAGGGGCAAACTCTACGTGTCCTTTTTGGCGACATGTCCGTCTCATAGATAGTCACCTTAAACGACTAAACAAAGGCAGGGACCAGTTCTAGGTGCCCGTGTCATCGAGATGTGCGCCTTTATATGAGAGTCAACTAACGGAGTAAAGAAAGGCAGGCAGTCTAGATGTCATAGCGAGATATCCGTTGAGAAAGAAGTTGACTGTATCTGTCACTCTTCCAACAATCAATATGTTCTGGACTATTTAATTTGGTGAAAATATGGAGGTAAAATAAAAAAATCATCAATTTTCAATGACCCATTTGCAGCCGTACCGTCAGCTAGCCTCCCACGCAGACGTTCTTAAGGGTTCGTGGAATGAGAGAAACAGACAGCTCAGGCATCATTGTAAATCGAAATTCTCAATTTAAATGATATACCATGTGATAGGAAATTCACGATGCACGTTGACAATGTGAAGAAAATTTACGTTACACAAAATTAACGCGAATTTTCCAAACGTTTGGTTTATACATCACTGCATTAACGCGAAATTTTCGAAAACGATGTGCGCCTAACTTAATTGATTAATTATTTTACGCGAATTTGCTCTATTACAAACTTCTCAACATACATATCTAAAGGAAAAAACAGCAGCATTTCCAGTCATTGTTATCTCATTGTTATCATGTTACTTCTCCGTAATTGGATCTAGAGAGGGAACGCTCCCTTGGATCCTGGCATTTTCTTGTGCCTCGGAGGGAAGACTTCAAATAGTGACTCTGAGGCGTTGATAGAGGAACTATTAGCAGACGAGGTTTCGTTATTGAAAAGGTGCTGTAAAACAACAATGATGTAGAACAGTGTGATTTAAATTAACATCGACGTAAATTAAGATGCATTAAATTAACGAGATTTAAACAAAAATTGCGTCAATAAAGTGCATCGTTAATTTCCTACACTGAATAATGTAATCTCCTGGTTTGTGCTATTCCAATGCATTCTTTGCTCTCCAGCTATTGTACCACGTAACCTAGCCATACACTGCAGTTTAATTAGTGCCCATGCCAATTTCGCAGCACATACTAGCAGAGCTTAACTAACGAAGTTACCCATCCCCTTCCGGCCCATGGATTTAAAAATGGAAATGGAAATCAATTAGGGGTAATCGGAGCTTAGGAGAGTGCGTTCGATATGTTTGTTAGGCGTAAAGGCGGGTAACAGTTGAAGGGGAAGATTGGATGGTTCTTGCTCAGTAGATAAATATGATTATGGCATATTTTGAACGTAAGGGTTGCGTACAACGAAACCTCTATTTAAACTGTGTATCATTATAAGAAGATTTTGAAAAGATATCGTATGGTTCGGTGTCAAGTGCTTGTAATCGGAGGGAACAGTGGCCAGAGTGCGTCGGGCGCGTAAATAGAACATTTTAACTTTTGTTTTACTGGCCGCGATTACAGGGCGCAGTTGTTCAAAGGCCGATCAGCGCTTAACCCGGGATTCTTTTTTTTTCTTCAAAAACATTTCTTCGGATAACTTTCTCTATTTTTTATTAAGAGCATCCAATCATCAACTTGTTGACAAAATGAATTAAACTGAATTTACTTTTTTAAAAGCTTTCACATCTGAATTCAAATTTCGCACTAACCCTGTCAAAGCCTTTAGTGGAATGTGTGTGCGGCTCACGTCAAAAACTTTTCCAGTAATTTGGTCGGGCGTTTTGATTTCAGTGACTCGAGAGTGGCGCTATACTGTGGGCTGGTTTATAAGTTTTTCCTCATATTAAAAACATACAGTTAAAGTGTTTGTTTGTCTGGTGCCGAAAATATCACAAGTCATGATCAAATGGCGCCGCCGAACTTCACATCTCGGTAGATTGACCTTGTGGCACAACGGTTGCCGAGGTACACAACTCGGTTAAGATTTACTTTCTGACACAACGGTCGCCGAGCTACACAACTCGCAGAACTCGGTAAATTTACTCTGTGGCCTGACAACGGCTGCCAAGCTACACAACTCAGTAGATTTACTTTGTGACACAAAGGTAGCCGAACTAAACCCGGTTTGATGCATGCACCAGGAATCGCACACATTTTCCAAAGACAGTGACGAATCATGCTGAAAAACACGAAGGCTTAATCTATAGTAAAATTTAACAGCAAACTTCTGAAAGATGAACGCTTTGGAAGATTCAGCAAACACAGATCGATGTACGCTTTAAGAAGATTCAGCAAACTTTTTAAAAGATGTACGCTTCACGAAGACAGAATATCAGGCTCAGGAAACCTTTGAAAGATGAACGCCGAGGACAAATGAAACACCAGGTGAGTTAGCGCGTCAAAGTGAGACAAAACGTAAGCAAGCACTTCAAAGTGAGGCAAATGTGTGTCGATGACGACGAAAATGCAATCTCAAAATAACCTCCCTTATTAATTGCACAGGACACCCAATAAGGCAAAGAACACGCAACACAAATTAGGGGTTGCGTTACGGAACCTGACCTTGTACGGGAATGAAGCTCTGACTCAGCAACAAACTGTGGTCTTCTTCTGACGCTTCTCTCGGTCCAGTAGCTGGGATCCATATTCCTTTGACGCATCGACTTCTCATAGAATGTTATCATGTATTTGCGTCCGTTTATGTGGAAGAAGTAAAGTCGCTCTTCGTTAAGATAGTCAGCCTCTATATTTTCTTGTGTCATCTCACGTGAGATCTAAAAGCACAGCACGAAATTTGTGTTGTAATATTAAAAATAATTTTGCGTCCAGACCTAAGTGTAATTCTTGACACGAAAGGCAGACAGAAAGAAAATCTCGCGTCAGCGGTTTTCTCTCCTTTATCCTGCTTTCAAGAATATTTTTAAAAAATTTAAATTAGTGAATTAACGTATAAGTATCAGCACTATCCAAAGTCTTGTGTAAAACATCAAGTGGAATTAAACCGTTTAGCTGTTCTTGCTATTATAACTATTTTTTGGCCACACCGATGACGATTTCAAATAGCCACCATAATAGATCCACCTTTTCCTTGAAAAATGTCAATCAAACTTTATATCGAAAACAATGGAGAATATTACAATTGATTCGTGATAATGAACCCAAAATGTTAGGAAATAGTTGCTGTCAATTTAATGCCAGTTTAATCCTAGAGCTTAAAAGATAGCAAACATGCTTTTTAAGGGACTGGTCAAAAAGTATAGGGACCCACCCCTAAAGCAAGGTTGGAAATTGCATGACCCACCCCCTAGTTAAAACATGGACGTTCGGTTTCCTCTTAATAATCCAATAAAACCTTGTTCTGTACTTGACAAAATTTGTTGATACGCTGCTACAACCAACATCAAAATCACAGAAATTATACCTTTCACTGAAAAGACGAATGTCAAAAACCCAACATTTCTTGTTTCAATGGACGTTATGAGTCTTGGCACAAATATACAGCAAAACGAGGGTATATTGAAATTATCTGTCACAAAGCATATGAAAATTTCAACAAAGACAACCCATTCCTACACATTACTTGCCGCAAATGCTTAGATTAATCCTCAAATCAAATTTCTTCCACTTCAGTGGAAAGCACTACTTACAAGACCATGGAACTGCAATGGGCACAAAAACAGCAGTTTTGATTCCTTTGCCAATATTTTCATGACATATATTGAAACAACAATTCTAAGCAAAACTGTCTTTAGAACAACAGTTTGGAAATGCCACATACACGATATCTTTTCCCTATGGGACATGAGTAAACCAGACATCGAAGCCTTCATTGAACAAGCAAGCTTACATCACCCAACTATTGAATTCACGGCCAAAACATTTGACACTGAGACTGCGTTTTTAGACACGGTTGTATACAAAGGCACAAGATTCAAGGAAAAATCTATCCTTGATGCAAAGATACATTTTAAACAAACGGAAAGCTTCTTGCGCACACATTTCACCTGTGTCACGTTTTTTCTGGTTGAAATTTTCGAAAAGGTAAGTTTTGATCCCTATAATTTTCGTATCACTAGACTTTCAGCTAGGAGATCCGAACAGACGAAATATTTTTTGGGTATAAAAGTACGCCTATATCTACTGTTTAAATACTAAGATACGTTTAACAATGCTATGTTTAAGTGGTTTTGAACTATATTCTCGTTGTGTGCCCCCTATCTTTGATAGAAAACCTACTATCAGAAATAAAAGACAAAAGGAAGTCTAAACTCCTAAAACAAAACAACAAGGAGGAAAAAGAAATATTGTCATTCGTGACCCAATACCAGCCCTCAGTGTCTACTATAAAGAAAGCTTGAATGAAAAAATGGAATCTTATACAAAACTAACTATAACTTCAATAAATTTTTAAAGAACCACCAATCATTTCCTTAAAAAAAAAGGAAAATTGTTAAAGAACATGCTCGTTAGAGCCGAAAAAAAAGGTTATCAGAGGGTTCCACGACCGTATAGATGTGCGGCCTGTCAACCTTTGTATTTTCTCGCACAGCAGATTTGTGGGTATTTTAGCAATAATTCCAGCTGGCTGTGTTTTATATAACAAGTGTAGTCAACTGTCTCGTTAGTAGTTAGTAAAAAATAGGGTGACCCACCCCCTAAGAGTAGCTGAAAATTTCTCGACCCACCCCTTGCACAAGGCTCAAAACCTCATGACCCACCCCCTCTCTGCTCCGGCCCACCCCCACCTATACTTTTTGACCAGTCCCTAAAGCAGAAAGGGTGCTGCCTCCTCATGACAAGGAGAAATAAACTGGGAAGAAAAATGTTAAGATCAATTCTGGCAAGTCACGTGACCCACCTGACAAGTTAAGTGGGTAACGTTCACGTTACTCTCCCCTTGCACCCCCAGACCTGAAAACTAAGAGGGCTGATAAGAAGTGGAATAAGGTTGCTACTTCACACTTCATTAAATAGCAACCATGTCATTTAAGCTGCCAGTTTCCTACCGACAATAGATATTGAAAAACTTTCGAAAGAACTTACTTTTCCATCGTATTCTTCCCATCCATTATCGTCTTTCCAGTACCAAATCCACTTCGTGGCCAATCTTTTACCAGGCGCGTGGATGTAAGACGGTGTGGACAGCCGGCGGAGTGAAACCGTGGCAGATTCGCACTGCATAGTCATGTTTTCAAAGTTTATTGTAGCATTAACTTTTCCCTGGCTTTGATTTAAAAGAAAGTGCAAATTAAGTTTCTTGTGAAATTAAGTCAATTGAAAACGGTTCAAAAAAATCGACATTTACGGTTATTATAAGCTCAAAGGACAAGATGGGCCAAGCAAAACATCCAAGAAACGCGCTTGCCCTCATATGTGCTAACCATTTACTCTGACCGTATTCCTCAACAGACAACATCTTACCCTGGCATGACAAGAACAAGTCGCACCTCCAGTTTTTCCACGTCACAATAACACTTTTCAATGCCAACATTAGTTTTAGGACTTAGGTTTGTCCAGGCGTCGGTGGCTGACTCTCGAAACTGCCAACAGTAAGGCAATGGACAGTGCTTGTACAAGCAGTTAGCACCCATTGTACATTTACCAAGAGGAGCGTCGGGGCAGATTATTGTTCCCGCCTTATTTCCTTAAATGAAAAAAAAAGATATTTGGTTGATGGCCAAGTAGGTGTACGTCCCCACGGTTAAATCTCGGAAGCCTCACCAATACTGAGTTTAATTGTTAACCCTTTGGCGACCCCAGCTAGAAACGAGAAAAAAAAAAACTCCAAAGCAATATTTTCTCTACAACCCTTTTTCCAAAGTGTCCACCTTATTAATCCCAAATGGTCTAAACCAGTTGTGGAGTTAAAAACGGTTTTGCATTAAAATCGATTGGAGCAAATAGCCTTCGCTCTCTGACGCAGGTAATAAATAAAAATTAAGGAAGTCAACTAAGGAAACTAAGCAGGTGTGCCGACGAAGTCTTTGAGCCCTACCGTCTCATGACCCTGCTTCATTTTATTTGGCACATTGAATAAAGTATTTGTCATCAAAGTATTAGGTTGTTTTAAAGAAATTAACGCATGGAGACCGAGCGGCGCCAACGTTCACACCCTGCTCGAGGTTTCTGGACTACAAAAACGCCCTATCCAAAACATCAAAGTGTGAAATTGTACCCTGTTCAACCTGTATTCAAGACTTTTTTAGGAAAAATAAGAATGTGCGCCCCTTGCCCCGGGTTTAGCAGTCTATTACCCAACCCTGAGCAGACAGGCAAATCTCTAGCCTCGGCCCCAGTTTCTCAAAAGGTGGATAGTGCTGATTTATCCACTGGATTCCGGCGATTGTGCAATCCAACATCTGAGCCTGGGGCCAGGACGTTTGCTGTGAGATCCCCTTTACTCGTTGATAGCTGATATCAGCGCTTTTAAACTCACCGCTCATATCTGAAAATTGCGACACCGTCCATCGCCGATCACTCGATTGAGTGATCAGAAAACGATTTTTTTTAATTATCCGCCGTGGGACCTCAGTAGATTGGTTATGAAAGGCAAGAAAGAGCGAATGAAAAACGATCGTATATACCAGGTCTTTAAACAAACATCTGAACCAACAAAGGGTGGTCTTATATAGCTATCAATGTTATGCCCGATGGGGGGTGGGGGGAAGGGGGGAGGCACGGGATCGTGCTTTCCTTCTTCTTAAATTGGTTCCTTTAACAACCATCGTTCCTCTTTATTGATGTGATTATAAACAAATACTTTCACATCAATCTGCAGCAAGAGGAACAATAATAACTTCAAGACAAGAACCAAGATCAACTTTGACACTGTCGAAATTGAAATGAAATCAGTCTCGATTCTTTGAAAATCTGGAACGCTTGTACAGAGTGGTAATATTTTCAGGTTTGTGAATTCATCACCCGAGTTCAAGTTATTAAAGAAAACAAAATCAAATTGAAGCTTGTTTTGGAGGTTTTATGAGTATAGTAAACTTATTTAATTAGAGGAGAGCTCGCCATGTGTATGATGCAAGCACATATTCTTTACCTCATTCGGATTGATTTTTCCGCTCTAGTGGGTAACTTTGAACTCAAAACCTTACTCTGAGATGGGGAACTTTGAATGAAATCTTATCCCAAGGGTTGGGAAGTTTGACCCCACATTCGAACAAATATTTGTTTTTGACTGATCAAAGTCCCCACCCTACCCGTAGTCCCCCGGCCCCTTTGCTCGGGCATAACATTGATAGCTGCATTACATACAAACCAGCTGTTAAGTTTTTGGAGTTAAATCCCAACTTAGTCTGTTTACGACGACGCCAAGCCAGAATAACCAGAAAAAAGGACGCAGCTCCAACAGTGAGGGCAATTACGCCACATACGGGAGACTGCGAGTTGCTCCTGATGAGTGCAGAGGCAGGGAGTGAATCTGATGTGGCAACACGAGTGAATCCATTCAGTACGGAGGAAGCATTCCTGACGAACAACCAAGAGACGAAAGTAACAGCTGAACTTGCCTTTGAGGCTACCAACACGAGAAAGAGACATGTCAAGCGCACTCCAGCGAAAAACCCGGAAATCAGCCAAAAACAAAGGAAAATTAGATTGTGCGTTAAGATCATCCCTTGCCTGAAAACTAGCCACAGACCAAGCCGCGTCACAGAGTAAATCATCATCACTATTGTCCAGTAGTAAGGTCGAAAGTGATAGGCGAATTCAATTGCAAACGTGGTCATCAGCAACATCACTGCAGCATTGAAGCCCACTACCAAAGCATACCCGACTGAAGAATGAGCACTCCAGCGATCCAAAGCATCTTGAATGGACTTTTTACGCTTTAAGTAACCCTTGCGGAGCGAAACAAATGATCCATTAATCTTTTCGCAGGCAGCGTTCACAACCGCGATGACCTTGAAATATTGCTGCTTCCAAATGAACAAAATTGGTGCTACAATTGAGTAAACAATGTTTAGTGATTTCCTCCAAACGCTTAAAGTAGAGGAACTGTAATTCTTAGTCATGGCTCCGGCCGTGTGAGGGCTCAGAACTTCTTCGGCAAATGCTTTGCTTTTCTCCGTTCACACACTGGATGGCCGTATGCTCGATGGCGTGACGCGAAAACAATTTCTCAGAATTCCGGAAACGGAAATGTGCCTTGCAGAACCGGAAGTGCCCGGTTCCCTTGGAAATTCTTATATCCAAAACGGTGTTTTTAAAGTGGCTTTACAACGACGCCGTTTATACAAGCGCCCCCATTCGGATTAACGCTCCCCTTTTGGCAAAAAATATAAAACTAGTGATAATTCAGGCATATTAGGAGAGTGCGTTTGATGGGGCGGGTGGGTGGGGGTAGTGAGTAGTAGTCGTAAGGGGTGCAAAACTTGATGAGCTGGTAAGATTGAGAAATCAAAATCAAGCACTTTTATCAACATGAATATCAGCAGCTCTCTTTATCAGTGTTATTGCTTATCATCCCACTTTACAATTCGTTACTATTTAGTTTTTCCTCAAAAATGCAAGGGCGGCCTCATGTATTTTTTTACATTAACTTGGCTTAGCCGCTCTACCAGAAGTACATAGTAAGTAACAACAGGTCAAACACTGACTATGATCCTCAAGATATTCTTTTGCACTGCAGAATGTTCAATAAAATTGGCTAAAAATTGGGCTACGGAAAATGAAAATAATCTGAAAAGTTCGTCGATTAAGGTGTCAAAAGCGCCGTCGTGTATGATTTCAAACCCCTGTTGCGTGACACTGCACTAACACAACCCACCTACTCAGCACTGTTTTTCAAATACAACGCACCCGAAATTAGTGAGATGACAAGGTAAACTTCCACCTTTGAACTTCTTGTATATGTTTCAAAAATGGTGACATAAAAGCGAATACAACGCTATAAATAGCTTTTAAACGCGAAAAGATGTTTTAAATTACAAATACAATGTGCAGAACACATTGTTAACATAATATCTACATATCTGATTATCTTAGAATGGAGCTTTTCCTATACCAAAAAATAAGCTTAATTAAAAACAGTGAGAGAAACGATCCCGAGGGGGTACTCATGGGAATTCTTGGTGGGAATGTCCCGCCCGTTTCTCCAAATCCTAACCCTAGCTATTTCAGACCATGTAATTTCCCACACCCGTTTCCAGACCTGGCCTTTAGACAGAAATTACGTTATCATTACTTAGATTAGAGCGCAAACAAAAAATTCTTCAAATCCGGTTCCAATTCGCATAGTTGTCTTTCTTTCTTAGTCATTTGGAACTGAAACGATAAAGACGTTCATACACTCCAGTAGTTTCCTCGAAAACCATACCCGACTCCAGATCAAAATGGGCAAAGTGTATACCCGTTTTCAGACCAAAACCCTACGCGATGGGGCGGCACATGCCTATATAGCTTATATAAGGCAGTACCCCCCCCCCCGGGAAAACGATGAAAAAAAACCTGTAATAAACAGAAACTCGTCAATGTTTCATCTGTGAACGAGTGTCACAAAATCAACCAGTTCCGTCAGTTCCCGGGCGAGAAAAACTAAACACATGAGATCGAGGCAAAATGAGCCAGTCAGTTAACCAGTCCAAGATGGCACCCAAACTGTGAAATCGAATGACATCCAGAACCCTACCCGCGGGATCTCCCACGGGACTCGAATAGTAAGCGTTTCCTTTCGTCGTCGTCGAACACAATAAACACCAGCTTTAGAACTAGAAGTAATCTTAGATCAGTGATTGCGTTTACATTTTTTTATAATAGTAGCTTAATACCTCCAAAAATGACGGACGCGTGGCCAAATTCAGAATTTGAAATGCCAGTATTCACCCTCCTTTCAAGTAAGCCGCAGAAAGCTTTATTTGTTGAAAATAGAAGCTTCCGCCTCTCTAGTAACTGCGTCGACGAAGGAGACGCTTCCTAATTGAGTCGTTGGCTGTACTTTGTGTTCGTGGGTGTCCTGTGCATGTTCCAAGCACAAGAATCGAGAAAACAGGTTGTCGGTGTGTCGGTTCCAAATCTGGGCCATTTTAATTTGAAACTTCAAAATAGCTTCCAGCATGCCAAGCGCGCCATGCGTCATTTGGTATGTTTGCGTTACAAATAAATAGTACTATGCAAAAGTTCTGCAGAAGAGGTTTCATTTGAATGGGAAAACCAGAGGATTTCTTTCAAAAGTAATTTCGTGTGACAAATCAACTACTCCACATAACTCAGTGTAGGACGAAACCCGGGGGGGGGGGGTATTCCCTTACAAGAGGCTACTAGGGATGTGCCGCTGGATGGGGTCGCATTTTCACGATTGGAGTGACTATAATGGGGTCGCATTTTCAGGATTGGAGTGACTATAATGGGGTTGCAAATTTTCGGATTTTGGGGGTAAGTAGGGATTCAAAATGGGAAGATTCTCTGTTAAAAAATCAGAAAGTTGTTGTTTATTAAATTTAACAATAAGCTCGCATTGACCGCATTACATTCCGCCACTTGAAACCCCATTGATAAAAGGTAGATGTATAAGTGACTAAGTTGGGATCGCGAAAATCACATTTTCCAAATAGTGACTAAAATGGGGTCTATAGTTGGTCAAAAAATAGACTATAATGGGGTAGGGGCTCTGAGAGGCCAGCGGCACATACCTAGCAGAACGGGATATCCTGGGGGACAGGATTAGTATGCGTTTCCCTACGCCAAACGCAATAATTATGATATAAAACCAAACCATGTCGATTCTCGTTTCTGAATATACGCCTACAGTACATTTATGCGGAAAGATAATTTCTTCGTTTTCAGTTTTTGTTTTAAATGTTGCAGCTTTCTTTTATTTGAAACTAAGGTATGTGGTTGAGGCTGGAAATATGAAGAATAAAAAGAGCCCCCCCCCGTTAAACACTGCGCCTAACCCTCCCGAATTAACATATTACTCTCCCCTCCCATTTGGCAACAAAAAGTAAATTAGCGTCTTGGGTGCTACTGATTGGAGCAATTGCCGTAATGAAATTTAGCCCGACGGTGTATCAAAACTTTGCTAAAGTAATGCATAAGTCAATTCCAGCTGCGCCCAGCCCCTCCCCGCGCTGACCCCCGGGAATTAGCGTCTTTTTGCGTTGCAAATTCCCGGGGGTGGAGACTCTTGAGCTGTCAAATCCCCTGCGATGGGGACGAAAAAAGAGGGCAAACTCCCCGTCCTCCGACAACACTTCAACATTTTTCATTGGAAAAGCGCCCTGGGAGGAGGTTGAAATAGTGCCATTTTCAGCATTATAATGTGCAATTTTTTGTTTCAATTAACGTCTTCCTTTGTATAAATAGCGCTAGGATTCCAACAGGAGCCAATTATAGGTTCTTGATTCTAATTAAGACTTCATACCGCGACGACACCAGTTTATGGTTTTAGTCCGTGTTATAATGATTATTGACATTAAAATCAATAGAACGCTATAAAGTTATATATTATGTCGAATGAAATATGTAAGGATGTTCTTCAAATAAATTCAACAGAAATTTGATTCAAGTTAAGTAAAAAACGTTGATTCACGTCGATAGCACCCGATTTCGCTATGCATTTCCGGCTTGATAAGCAATAAAGAAATGCATGCATAAAATTGAGAACATGCCTCAACAACCCTCTTCAGATGAGCCAATAAGCTTGTTTTTTCCAGTAAAATCCTAGGATTTTAGGAAACCGCCTTGGGAATAGCCCCGGGGTTGGCAAATGCCCGGCCCCCGGGTAGCGCAAAATTTGCAAATGCCCCACCCCCGGGACTGACAGGGTGGGCAAATGCCCCGCAGTAGCCGGGGGGGGGGGGGTAATGAAAACGAATTAAGGGACGGACCATTAGAAAAGTTATGGGGGGGAGGGGAATTTTCGAGCCGCAGGAATTTTTTTTCCTCATCAAATTCCTTGTAGGAATTTTTTTTAGGCCTTAGCATGAATATTTTTTAGGATTAATTGGCGTGCAAGAATTTTTTTTCATTTAATTTTGCCTTGCGCGAATTTTTTTTTTGTACTTCGCCCGCCCCCCCCCATAAGTTTTCTAATGGTCCGTCCCTAAGTTATCAAATCGACTCGAAATGTCAATTACACCGGAAATCAGATGATTCTCTACCCGAATAAATATGTAAAAAGAAGTGAAAAATTATCATGTTTTCATACCACGGGAACAGTTTGGAAACCGCAAAAAAGCGCCAATGCGCACCATTCCTACGTAGGCAATTGATCACCTCGGAGCAACTTGAATTCAGTTACGTTAACTGAAAAGGTCGCCAAATCCTGCTAGCCAACATTAAGGACTGTTCGATATTTTTATTCATTCATTTTAACACGCTTACTGTAATATGGAAAACTGAAAAA